AGTTTTCCCCATATCCAGAAGGGCAAGAGCATACTGACAGGAGGATCAGTATGGCCTGAAGAGCAATTTGCATTGGCTTGCCTGCTTTATGACTGCCTGAGTTGCAGAACTTGTTTCATCATTTCCCTTTGCAGTATTTGCACAAGTAGCACAGAAATGATGTGAATTTTAAATAATAAAGTGACTTTTTTAGAAAAATAGAGGCATGAGGTAAATGTTATTGCTGTGTTTTCGTGAAGGAGGAGACTATGAGGATTTCAACTCCAATTTGCATGTGTTTAAACTGTTTCTGGAGAGGAAGAATCATTTCGCAATTTCCTATCGCCTCTTAAATGAGAGGTCAGGGTATCTCAGGGAAGGAATTGGCCTCTATTCTGGCACCAGTAATACATGGGTCTCTGAACACCTTCCACTAGACCAGGTTGCTCAAAAGTCCCATCCAGCCTGGCCTTGAACACTTCCAGGGATGGGGCAGCCACAACTTCTCTGGGCAACCTCTGCCAGTGTTTCACCACCCTCACAGTAAAGAATTGCCAAGTGAGATTCTACATTCAAATGCTATATATGAAGTAGGTATTTTCCCTGCCACCTAGTGTTGCATGCAAGTATTAGAAGACTACCTTATTAAACAGTTCGACTGCATATGGATCTTATAGGTTGTCTGTTTTGGCATAAAAAATGTGTCAAGTCATGCAATAGTTTGGAGTTTTGTTTTGTGGTTTTGTTTGGGTTTTTTTTTTTCCTTCTGGTACTCTGTGGCTTACAGCCTACTTGGAATTGTGGCCACCTATTTTGTTTTCAGTAACCTTTAGATCTTTCCTCAATGCTATCTAGTTTTCTTGAATGTTCCATGGCAGTGATTTTCACAGTAGAACAGTGTTGGAAAATACTTCCCTTTGTTTTTTAGGCTTGTTGCCAATCCTGATTCTTGTATTGTGAGGGGATAATGAATAATTTAGCTCTTCATACCAGTTGTGATTTTGCATATTGATGTTTCTTTCTCCTTGTTAATCTTGCCTGATTTCAGCTTTCCCAAAGTTGCTTGCATGTTCTGTGCTGGGTATGTTGATTGGTCACTGGAGCACTTGGTATCTGGGGCAACATGTCACACGTGTATTGTTCATGTTGTATTGGGACAGAAGCATTACCGAATAGTTTGACTCTATTGACTACATGGGGAGCCTAGGCAATTAGCATAGCGTAGAGCAAGAAGGGCTGGTAGTGTATGAAGTTCACCCTTCAGGCAGCCGTGTCTAGGATGTGGGAACTGGCAGGCACCCAACCAAAGGGGAAATGCTGTGTGTGCACTACTAGAAAAGTGGAGCTGAGACTTGCATTTGGTTTGTCAGGGTTTCAGGTGACTGCAGTGTTTAGTGTGTTTTCTGAACATCTGGCCAGGGAACGAAAGCATAAAAGCATGAAATTAAACTTAGCCCAGGTGACTGACCAAATATATGAAAAGCTAAGCTTAAAATGGGGGTGCAGTATGTGCCTTCAGTAAAGGGCAACTGTTGTTTCCTTTGTATTAAGTAGGAGTTCGGAGCTGGTGAATGTTGTGAAATGCACATATGCATTATCTGCTGCTTAGATTTTTAAAGCATTTCATAAAAATGACTTTTAGTGAACATGCAGGTAAGTTGTTAATGCCAGCAGACATTAAAGCTGCCAGGTCCAAGGTGTTGCATGTAGGTTTATGCTGGATGAGTGGATGGGGTTTGGTTTTAGTGCTCTTCTTGGTAGCTGTGTTATTCTGAACTTGAACTGAAAAAAGATTTCAAAAGTGCAGGATCAGCAGCAGATTTGGGAAGCCAAAACCATTTTTGCTGTTTGCTGTTTTACAGTCCTTCTGTGAAGATGAAGGGATTTTTTAGGTAGAAACAGCAGTGCTTGTCTTAACCTCAGTTGCATCTGTTTGTGAATCCATGGGCATTGTGCTGCAGTGCCAGCAGGAGCCAGCTAGCTACCTGCAGGAGAGCAGGAACAGGCAGCTGTCTGTCCCCTGAGGGGATGGAGGAGTATTGGAACTTCAGTGGTACCCAGCATCATTTTGGCTGGCTTGTGTGTGAAGTGCAAGGTGTATTGAAGAAGAAACAAACCCTCACTGTGTGTCAGTAAAATGCAGCATTTGAAAAAGTGGAGAGAATTCCATACAGTGCACTTTCCCCCTGTTCTTAGAGCATTCTTTATACATTTCTTGTTGTTTTGTGGTTATATAGGAAAATATGTACTGATGGCTTTTAGAACCGCAGCCTGTCATTCACAGCCACAACCTAACAATTATAGTGGGAGTTGCTGCCTTCTGTAGGTACAGAAGCAGCCTTCAGAGTTCCTTTTATTTGAAAATTCTTGATATGCAATGCAATGACACAAGAAAGCTTTTGGCAAAGTATCAGGAATGGTGCTTATAGCCTGAAATGTTTTTTAAAGCTTTCTTCTTCAAGATCAACTGATAAGGCAAACAGCGTTGAAAATGAAGGAATCACTTTATCGGATCTTAAGTCTTTACTTTTCAGTACCTTATGTCCTTGTGCTGCCAATAACATTCCCAGTGTGGAGTTGTTTTGGTGAGTGCTTTATGTGACAGTCATAAAATTGCAGTGTTAAGTACATATCAAACTGCTACCATTTCTTCTTCATGACATTTAGAACAAAAATAATCCATAGCATATTTTCTGAGTACTTCAGTGTAAAAATAGGTGGTACAGGTCAGCCTTTAAATTACAATTGTCTTTGTCATACATGCTCCCCAAACCCCCCATTGATTCTGCTGTTAGATACAAGGTGGTTTACCCCTTGATACAGACATCCCAGTTTCAGATGGTAGGTATCAGCAGGATGAGGAGAGCTCATCGCTTTGGGGCATTCCAGGAAAAGGAGAAAAATTCCAGGAAAAGGAGCAAAATTAGTGGTGTGTGAGAGAGTTTTTGTATTTCTTACAGAGCAATGTGAGAAATACAAAAGATTTTGTTTCCTAGTTTCTCTGGCATCTGCTTACTTGGAAGAAAGAACACTGGCAGCCACCGATACAGGTACTGCAAATAATGAGTCTAGTTCCTGATCTGACTTTGATTAGAAATCACTGCTTCAGCTAGATCCTATATGGATTTTTACTCCTAGGACAAAGCTTAAATACATACTTCCAAGATCCATTAAAGAATATTCAGGATAGGTATGTTGGGTTTGCTTTTTAAAAATACATTGGCCTCATCATAGAGCTTTTGCAAAAAAAAACAAAAACAAAAAGACAAAAAAAGCCAAACCTCAGTACCCCAAACCCCTTCATTTGTCATTGACACTGAATTGGTTTTAGTACCAGCAAAATCAAAACAAGCAGCCAACACCAAAACAAACAAAAACTGCATATATTTGTATAATCCTGGATAATTTTAGCCTCTCCTGAAAGTTAATCGTAGTGCTTACATTCTGTGCCCTAGTTTTCTTCTGGTACATAGGAAAAACAATTCTTTGACAACATGGTATTTCTTTAGCTATCCTGCTTCTGTTTTTATGCTTGTGCTTGATTGTGTCAACAGTTTCACACAGGAAATGTTAATTGAAAAGCTCAGTAGGAAACTTACCTATTTGTATGTACAGAGACAAGGGCCTTCATTACTAGCCCTCCCAGCCTGGAGGGGATTCAGGTGGAACTACCTCCGGTATCACAGTTCTTCATTCTAGGAGGTTCTGTTCCAAAAGCAGGCTGGTTTAGCTAGGGGTTGCACCCACTTAGGAGCTGTGTGGTATTTCTATCCTTTTCAATGATGTAAATAAAGTAGGAGATGGGTTTTGCTGAGAAATTTGCCATGAACATAAGGGATAGTTTGGAACTTGTCAGGTAAGTAATGTTGTGCAAAGTTTCTGAAGGCAACATTCGTGATGGATGGTTTGAAGTTGTTCACAAGGATAGTGTTTTTCTTTTCCATTCTTTCCCTTTTCTACCTTTCCCTCTCTCCTGTTTTTTCCTTCTCCCCCTCTCTATTTTCCCCTTTTTCATTCTGCATCTCCATTAGGTAAACAATGAACAAATCCACTTTTAAAATCTGAAGAGCTGATTGTGGAAAGCTAGTGTAGCCAGCTCTTCAGAGCTTCCCAATTCTCAGTTATGTTTCCCTCTAAAAAATCTGAGGCTGATGCTAACTACCATTAAGAACTGCTCTTCATATTAGATACAATGCTTCTAATTTCTAGTTTGTGTCATGCCCTGCTTAAGGAGATTAAATGATGCAGGATAATTGATTCTCATCTGGGAGTCGGACTGAAAGCATTAAATCAATCCTGTTCTCTTACATGTTACTGCCATTGACATTTCTTTAAAGCAACTGATGTTTCCTCTTCTGCCTCTTTCCCTGACTAGTGAACTAGATAATACCTATTTCTTCTGTGTGCTTGCCCTGCTTTCTCTCTGGGAGTAAATAGCACAGCTTAGCTCTGGTCTCTCTAATCTGCTGGGATATGTCTTTAGAGAACAGGTTTTCATTCCATAAATACAATGCAGAATGTTTTTGGTGACCCTGTGTCCATCTCTACGGAATCTATAGGGCTATAGCTAACGAACTAATCCAAGCTTAAAGAACATTAACTATCTGCTGGGTTTTGCTCTCAGTACTGCTGACCACTAAGAGAGGTAAAACTGGTGATGTTCCTTCCTTTTAACAGAAGGTAAGAATTTACATTTGCATACAGTATTGTGGCCCTTATCTGCCATCATGTCGTCATTGTTAATGTCACTATTATTAGTTAAAAGCTGGGCTTAACAGTCACACAGGCATTGCGATGTAGGCTTGCACTCTGAAATAACTCGGTGCTGTGCCTCTGCAGAACTCAGTCTGAAGCATGGCTCCCAGACACGTGGTGCTCATCTTGCAGCTGACAAACGAACACAGACTGCAATGGGAGCACGTATGGAGCAGAAACAGTCAATGATCCTGTTCATATGGTACCACATCCTGTTCTTGCTAACTGCGCCATAGCACCCTTTGGGAACAGCCACGACCAGCCCTCCATCAGTGGTGGAGCTGTGTGAAGGCGGGCTGGTGAGGTGGGCTCTGGAGCACCAATTAATATGCTCTGCCAGACCTCTGGTGGCTTTGAGCTTTCACACCTTGTTTCTTGAGCAGGAAGCTGCGGGAGGGCAGCACAGGACTGTCAGTGTCAGGTTTGTGTTGTCACAACACTGCCTGAGGGTAAAGCCAAGAGCAGGCTTGGGGCTCTTGTGCTGGGGGGAAATCACAGATGAAATAGACAGGGGAATAGCTGTCTGTACTATCCAGTTTTTCTTTTCTGGCATCCACATCTAATATAAGGAAGTTTAAAAACTCCTGTGTAATTTATTGTAGACATCTCTTTATTAAAATACATACATAAGGAATAACATGCAAATGGCATGAAATGTACAATATAATTTGAGCTTTGTTATTTTCCCCATCTATGAACTACTGTTTTCCAGTTGTATGTTGTGGACAAGGACATTTATGTAAATGTGAGATCTTTTACGACTGAGATACTCAGTTGTAGACATTTAAAAAAAAAATATGTATTTTCCTGTCCTTTGGAAGTGCAGGAATGAAAAGGACTTCTTTGTTTTGAAAGTTTTTCAGTATGTTATCAGGTGTCCCTTCCCACCTGCAGATATCTACCACTTCCATGAATAAGGAAAACTATTTAACATTGAGGTGAGCTCCTTAAAGTGTGCCACTGCTCACAGCGCCCAGTGTACTGTGTATGGGAGGGGAAAAAAGGTTGCTGATGTTGACACATGCATAACTTTTTACGTGTACTCAGCAGACCTGTTGCTGTGGTAACTAATCAGAAGATTCTAACCTCTCCTGATTGAGTGCTGTTTGAACTGCACCAGATGGCTGATAAATCACGTAGTGGAATTTTCTGTCCCTTGAATTACTGTCTGATCTTTTCCCTAAGTGCTGTGGTTTAATTTACAGCAATTTACACAGATTATTTAGACCTGACAAACTAATGCAAAATGCAAAGCTGCTTCAGGTATGTAGTCACTTTAGTGAACTCCTGTATCGCCTGCATAACACTAGAACTGATTTTTGTCTTATGTATTGATGTTCAAGCTGTTGCAATTTTATGAATAATGCTAAGCTAAAAAACATTATGCTTGAATTTTAATATAATTTTAATAAAGGGTAACTATATAGCACATAGTTACTACAGCACATTTCTTGCAGAAGGAAGTGAGACACCTTTTCCAGTTCATTGGTCTGCTACAGCATTTCTGTACAGGCAGCATTGTAACAAGGGAAGCATACATGAAGATTAAACAGGGTCATTGCATAAGAAAGCAATGCTGTTGTCTCTATTTTCTGCTTCTTTGTTGTCACTGCTGGCTTATCTTCTCAGGATGATAGGTTTCCTTTTTCCACCCACCTCGGCTGTTTATGAGTCTTAAGCTATTGTCAAGTGTTTTAGCCTCATTGTTACAGGTTCTGTTCTAGCACACTAAAAAAAAGCTCCAGGCTCACAGAATTTATAAGCCAATACTAAAAAATGTGCCTTATGGTACCTTTTAGAGTTATGAAAATAAGTATGTTGTCACTGGTTACTGTAAATTAAAACAAGACAAAAGACAAAAATTATGAAAACAAATCAAGAAACTGATACTATTTTGGTAAATCATTACTCCAGAAGGCAGCAACCTTTTTGAATGGGCAATGGAGCAGCTTAGTTGTGTGGTGCAGTGCTGTTCCTGATACGTTTCTGGACTCTGAGTCCTTGCAGCACTCCATCTTCTGTCCCTGTGACACAAAATAGTTGTGTTCTGTCATGTTACTCGTTCAGTGAAGAAACTAGTCATTTCTGTGGCTCACGAATAAGAGCTTGACACCTCAGCCTGCCGTTGTGCCTACTATGACATCTTACGTGCAGCTGCAGCCATTTCCATAGATTAGTCTTCAGTGGTGTAACTGGATAAAGGGGCTGCAGCCACTATTTCTCTTTTGGTTTCGATTTTGAACATTCACTGAGCCTAGCAGGTGGTATCTTCACATCAGAATACTGCACTTGCCACCCTCTTTCTTTGTTATGGATGAAGCCACCTTCAGCATAGGAAAAGTACTATCAAGTTTCTACTCCAGACTGGAGCATATGAATATGACTATATACAAAACCCAGAACACCCAAGTACTATTGATACTTTTTGTTCTTTAACATTATTTTATAACATCAGTTGAATTTACTGGTCTATGGTGAAACTATTATCTAGGGTCTTGCAGCGTTTTTCAACGTTCCTAACTCTACCTAAGACATATAAGAAGTTATTTTATTCTTATCACTCACTGTGAGAGGAACCATTTAAATTCCGTGAGATGCCTTTATGGGTATAAGATTAGAATTCTGACTTAGCAGCAGTTCATCTGATTTTTAGGTACTCCAAATCAGTGCTCCATTGGAGAGAACAAGACTAAGACAGTGGCTTGGAACAGTAAAAAGGAATATTGACACGAAGGCTTTCTTGGATACACTACCCTTTTACCAAAATCTATCCCAGTAGATTTTTAAAATATAATTTAAACTCTTAGATGGTCTTTTTCACCATCTGCATTAAGTCGACTTCTTTCATTCTAAACACTGCTGAGAAAACCAGTTCCATCAGCAGTAAGCCTGCGTGGCTGCTGTCTTGAACTTGCAGAAAAAAGTATTTTGGAAATGGCAAATCAAAGATTAGTGCTGCAGTGTCTTGAGGATTTTTGGGTACTAGTTCTGCTGAATAGGCTTTGATCTGAAACTAAAGAGGTGTTTAAAAAAGAACAAAAATAAACTGTAACTTAAGCTGTGTGTTGCTGTATTTGCCTTCTGGTCTCTTCCTTTCACAGATAAAACATGGAATAAAGGTTCTTTGAAACTCCTATTTTTTCTAAAGATGTGTCCTTCCTGCACTCCTTCTTTGATGCTTCATCCAATTGGAAACTTGTTTTTTATAGAAGAAATAAATCACTTTTTAATATCCATAAATTCTATTGCTATGTTATTAAAGACAAAGAGCAAATAATCAATAAACAAGCATTGTGGCTTTGTCCTGATTGTTATACTTTTGTATTTTCTGTTTACACAGCAATCTCCATTCAAGGATTTCATAGATACAGCTGTGAGTAAATGCTCTCCCCATTTCATGCATGAGGTAATTTAATTGCTATGAGGTTACAAGATTTATCCAAAGCCAAGCAGCAAGCTTATTGCAGAACAACACACCCCAGGCTCTCTTAATTCCCCAGGACCATGTTCTAACCACTCATCCTTGCTGCTTTATGCAGTTCATGACAGCTTGCACAGAAAGGAAGCCTCAAAGACTTCTGTGTCGCCAGTATGTAATCATTCTGTAGACTGTCTAATAATTCTTAGGTAGATTATACTCAGACATAATCATCTCCAGTGTAATTAGAGAATAGACTTAGTCATCTAAGTGAGCATAATACGGGTAATGCAAGTGGTGCGTTATAGGATATAATTTAAACCTCCTTTTAAATTGCACCTGCTCTTTTCATCGGCTATCTTTCTGATTCTAAGAAGCAAGCTGCCTGTGACACAGTTAATCCTTGATGTAACTCCAGAGCAAAGAATTTGGGTTGTTATGTTCAACTAAAATTGTTACGATTAAATTGATATAAACTCCTCAGCCTTTCAGCGATTCAAATCACCTTTCAGTTAGGTATTGTAAGGCGGAGATATACAGCCTTTTTTCTATTGCAACACAGATTGAACTGTAATTCTGATGACAGCAAACTGATAGCAGAGGAAAACAAAGGTCTTGCTTAAAATACACAACGGAAAACCTTAGAGTATGAAGGGCCCCATGTTGCTGATGATCAGCCTGGCGTTTAAAAATGAAAAGCATTGATCTTAAGTAATAACTTCTAAATTAGTCCCTATTCAGGTTACTGATATACCCCCAAAAGGTGCAGATGCCACAATGTTTCACATTCACTGAGATTTAGATGGGGAACAGCAAATTATTTTCTCTTTTGGTTATACGATGAAGTTACAACTTCTGGTCTGTGATTAAGTTTGACAGCAAGTGTCCAAAGCTTGTCCATAGTTTCTGAAAGCATGCAGACCCCTGGATCCTTCTGCTCCTTGCAGTGTTGAGAGGAAAGTCTTTTTGCTGCATATGATTCCAGGATTTTTCCTTCTAAATTTCCTTTTCATGTAGGGTTCCATATGCAGATCCTGCCTGGCCTTTTGGTTTTCTTTTGCCAGATTACTAAACAAGGTCTATTGATCTAATAAGCAGTGTGATATTTAAGTGTCTTGATTCCTACCTTGTAGGAGTGCATCACATATAGTACTAACTGAAATTTGGACTGACTCTCAGTCCCGTGCTTTATGTGGCAGCTGCTTCTGCAGACATGTTAGTCTGGCTTGCCCCTTGTTAATGAGTTAGGATCCTGAAGAGAAAGAGGAAGAAAAGCAAATATCCTGAGGAACTCAACTCTGACCACCCTGCCCAGTTGTGCAGCACTATGGAGGACATGCTGACAGGGTTCTTCCAGGTAGTTAGTTCTGCTGGCAAAAAGCATTCAAACCTGTGAAATGAGGCAATAGCTGAGTGTAAAATCTCTCGGACTTAGGTACAATGCTCTTTTATAGATTTCTGTATTTTCTGTGCCTTCCCCAAGTTCCACACTGCTGCACCAACTTAACACACTTACTCCTTCCTGCTCTGGCACTGAAATGCTCTAGCTTTTAATGCTCTTTGTTCGTCTACTGTCATCCACACAGCTTTGCCTTTCTGACCTTGTCACCAGATTCCTTTTAACCCTCCCCTCTTCCCATCAAACATATCTGTCAGTCTCCTCCACACTAAGTGTGTACTTGTAGAATCAGAATAGTTAGGGTTGGAAAGGACCTTAAGATCATCAAGTTCCAAGTCTGAGGCAGGCATTGGTGTTCCTTGGTTCCTTTCCTTGAAGACAGATAGAAACACAAAGGTGATGCCTCACACCAGCGAACCATGTTTGTTTCCCTAAACCGGAGTAGTTTAACCGAGTAGCTGGGGACACACACGGTTAACCCTAGCAGTGAAGCTACCCTCACCTCTGTATGGAGGCACAGGTTGTGTGCTGAACAGACTGGACAGCTCCACGTGGCAAATGGAACAGGCCACCTACTCCATGCATGACAGCCGAGGGGTGCTGTGCTCAGTGTGATGCCACTCAGGGATCATCACTGCCGCCTTGCTCCGGGCATGGCAGTGCTGGTGCTGCTGCACCCCAAGAGCTGAGAAGTCCCCAGGGGTTCAGCTGCTGCAGGGACAGGACCTCACTGTGGTGCTTCTCAAGGGGCCAGCAGAAATGTCCCTGGCCATGAGGTCACCCTCATAGCTTTGCCAGGTTGGGTGGACTCCTTGTCTGGTGGTTTGACTGGTTAATGAGGTAGCAGCCACATTTTAAATTGCCTGCTTAATTTACTTCCTGCACTTACCCTGTGTGTGGGGCAGAGGGACACAAGTTACCCACCCAGTTATATGAGGAAAACTGAATAAACGAGCTTCGACTCTTCCAACACCTGATGTGAAGGGAACAATTAGCCCCCTTAGTCCCTGAAGGACGATGCATGCACCACTCCCTACCCATGCATGCGGGACACGGATGCCTCTATCGCACTTTGGTGGCCTTTCCTTTGGCGCGGTGTTTGCGGGAGCAATCACCCACCCGGCAGGGCACCTCTCGCCCTGAGGGCAGCAGGCGCCCGCCAGGAGCCAGGACCGGCGCTGTCTCTCTAAGGGAGGGACCTGACGAAGGCCCCGGGCAAGGGCAGGCACGTTCCCCGCGGCGCAGCCCAGGCCCTGGTCGCGCTGTGCGGCCCATGCGGAGCTGAGCCCCACGCGGTGAAGGAGCCCCAGCACCGCCACCCCCCGGCGCCGCGGCACCGGCCGGGACTCGCCGCGCGGAGCGGTTCGGTGGCGGCTGCGCGCGCAGGGAGGGGAGGGTGCCGCGCGCCGCGCCTGCTCCTACCGGTAGGGGCCGCCGCCAGGCTGAGGGGAGCGGAGCGGAGCGTGAGGCGCGCTGAGGTACGGTACCCGTGCTGGTAACGCTGCGGGGCAGGGCGGCATCAACCCGACTCCTTCCTCCTCTGAGCGGCGGGGTCGGTGCCTTACTGAGCGGCCAGAGGGATGTGGGGTCTGCGGGCAGCGACTTGCCTGCGGGGCTCGCCCTGTTCGCGCCGGGCAGCGGCAGGCGGGCAGGGAGGGAGGGAGGATGGATGCCGCCGAGGATGGCGGGGAGGGATGGCGCAGAGCCGGTTTAGCGGTGTCGGTGCGGGCGCTGTTCCCCGGGAGCGATGTCCTTCTGCGCACCTGCTCCCGCGGCGGCTGCGGGAGGCACCGCACCGCCCTGGGCGGGGGCTGTGGGCACCGTATAGCATGGCTGCCCCGCGGGGGCTGGGGCCCTGGGGCTCGTGTGGCGGCCCGGAGCTGGGGGAAGGCTTGGTGTTGGGGCTGGCAACTGGCAAACGACGTGACCGCTGGCCCCTGCTTCCCAGTTTGGAGCCGGGCTCTACGGTCTCCGTCTTCCCTGGCTGCCCTCTCTACTAGCTGCTGCTTTCCCTTCTCTTTAAAGACCTGGCGTGGGCTGTATCCCCCGTTCTTTATTTTGAAGGTGCCTTTTCATAGTCACCTTGAAATCTAGATGCCTTCATGTACGTTTCTAAGCATACTGTTACGCTTAGGTAGGTATGTGATGGTTTCATGCTGCTGATGAGCAGACATACCTTCCTGCAGGAGTCTACAAAACGAAGATCTCTATTCGTGCTACTATAATAATACTAGAAGCTATGATTAACCTGCCTTAAAATACAAAAAATGTCTCCAGTAATGATAATTAGAAGCAGAAAAATCATATTAAGCTGATCTCTCAGCCAGAAGACAGCTTTGTTAGGGTCCGATTCTAGAAGTGCACGTATGTATAAATCTGTCCCTGTGAAAAATGTCTTTAAAACTGGGTAAAACCATCCATACCCTTAAGATGTGAAACTAATTATCCTAGTGAAGTGGTGGTGCTGCAATGCACCTGTTAGATTCTGTGGTGCAAATTACATGTGTATGTTAAATTTGCTCAATAGTGTAGAAGGTAATAAATACATGAACTTGTGAGAACTGGAGTATCTGATTCAATTGGCTATGGACTATTACTGTTTCAACTATTGGTCTAAAAGCTGTTTAGAATTGGAGTTAGGGATTTGAAGTACCTCTAAGCACATTGGTTTGTTTGTAACATGCTCCCCAAACCCTCCAGACAAACAGAAAGAGATCTGGACTCCTGAATTGTAAATATTTAGGAAATTGACCTCTGTGGACACAGTACTTTCACTGGTTTGAGATGAATCAGGACTGAAATTGACTTAAGCCATTCATAGTGCTGTAACCTTTCCCAGGTACTTTAGAACCCAGGGCTTACATAGACAGTCTAGACCCACACGTGTCATAGTAAGGTAAATGTGATGGATGGAAATCCTTTACTGATGTAAGTAGGCTTGGGCCTCCCCAGAAAAGTATTTCTGATGCTTAGAGTTTGAGATTTTTATGGTAACTTTGTGGTTTTTTTGAGGAAATTTGCAACTTTTTTCCCTCATAAAGTTGGGCATGGCTTAAGCTCCATTTATTTACTCTTGCCGACTTTGGTGTTTTTGGTAAAGGGTACTGAATTTAGCTCTCCATCCTCGCCTTCAAAAGTCATCAACCATGGATGCTTTATGCAGCTTGCGTGTGAGAAAGTGTGTTAGGAGATGCCAGTAAGAATTTCTGTGCTTATTATGGACTTGAGTTGTGAAGCTGGACGTTGTCTCTGTGGTATGCTGGCCTTCTCCTTGTGTAAATTAAGCAGATTGGGAAGTTGCACAGAATTGCTGTCTGTATTGCCTCTCTGTAAGGTACCCAAATGGCTGGTTTGTGCCAGTGTGTTTCATTACATCCTAACATTTGCAAACTCTGTTGCTCATATTGCAACACTTGCTGTTGTTTTAGGTTATCTTTTAAACTAAACTGAGACTTCCAGCAAGGTACTTTGCTTTTTATTTTACCCTTTGTTAGCATAACGATGTTGCTAATTTGAAATGACTACCAGTCAGTGTGCATTAGCCAGCTGTGCTTGGAGGTGGACAGTCTCTTATGTGCAGTGATGAAGGCCTAGCTAAAGCACAAAATTGGGTTATGCTGGATCTTTACAAAGAGAAAAGCTACGTGGCTAAGTGTTATGCACCACTTAGCGACTTCTCATTATGAAGTTGTGTGTTGTACAAAGATGATTTAGATGCCAGGATCCTAGCAAAGGTCCCTGCACCTGTGGCAGAAGCAGGAAAACAAGTGCTTCTCTATGAAATTGAGAGTTTTACAGATGTGACCTTAGGCTGTTGACTGGAACAGCAGCTACAAAAGGAACAGAGTTGTATGGCTGCTTGGAGACTTAATTAAGTGCACTGACATCCACTCAGTAAAAAGTCTGTATAAATAATGAATTTTGCCTGTATGTGCAGCCTGTGATGGAAATGAGACTTAAATCTGTTGTCTTCTGGGTGACTGACCCTGATTTGTTGTTAAATAGGACTGTTTTCATTAACATAATTCAGATTTCTTGAGGCAAAAAAAAAAGCTCCTATCTTTTTTTGAAAGCTGCCTACTTTGAAAGGTTGGGTTGGGTAAGGGTGTATTAAAATAGAACTGGTTGGTCAAGGGACTGTAAACTTTTATAGCAGCTGAAATCTTACCATTTGTTAGGACTTTAAATGCTGAAGAGTTTTAGCATGCTCATTTGATAGCCAGTATCTAATTTGTTAGATGGCCTTAAGGAATCTGGCAGCTGTTGCCAGGAATATTACAAATTTTCCCACATGCAGCAAGAGAAATATTTTCAGTTCCTTATAGGCCTATCATGCATTTGCTCAGTTAAATCACTGAAGGGGGTGTACTGCTTAGGGAAGCTTTGAAACGCAACTTGATTTTATGCTGATGTAGGGAATTGCTATGTCTTATAATTTAAAAATTAAAGTAAACTTAGTGGGGAAAAGGGCCGTTTCAAATCTCCGAGTGAAAGTTAGAGATGTTGCTCATTTTGAGCAAATTCTTCAGAAATTTTCAGTAGTTAATGGAGGTGGGAGGGAGGAATGGACAGAGAAGTGTTGAACATGCTAAGTTGCAGCTGCTGATAATTCCTCTCAGGTATCTTCTCAGACACAGTTTAGAGAGACAGAGACTGTCAAAGTTGAGAGTGGCACCTTCAAATTGTAAGTCGGTGTTGTCTGTTGGTGGTAAGGAAAGAGTCAAACAGTTTGACTAAGGTCTAATAATGAAATGTCCAAACTATAGGGACATGGAGATCTGGCATGGTTTTGTACTTTATATTCAGGAACAGTCTCTGCTTTCTAGTTTCTTGATAAATGCAACCTTCCTCTGTCCTGATAAGTCATGCATTAAAGCTGTCCAAATTGTCAATTAAAAAAATAACCTTTCAATGTTTCCCGAGATGGAAACAATATTATTATTGTGCCTTTCAGTTTGCTGTCTTTGTTCTCTGCCTGCAGCTGAATGAATTTTGCTTTTCATTTCTGTTTTTGGAAACATTGCTTTTCTGCAGGACGCAGAGATCACATGTCTCTATGTGCATAAGACACTAGGCTTGATTTGTAAATGGAAATATAAGCTGTCTCAGGCACAGCTTAATTTCAAAGCTAAAACAGGGGTTCAGAACAAAGAACTGAACCCTGAACAAAGTTTTCACAGTTCTAATTGACCTTTTTTTTCTGCCAGTCCGTTAAAAATATGGAAGGATTAAGAATAAATAATGTGTGGCCTATTTGATATATTCTTCCCCTCCTAATGTCTTGATCCAAATCTGAGGATCCTTGTTCAGATGCTGTCTCTCAGTTTTTCATTTTACATGGTTTTTGCAGGTTATGTCACTTTTATTTCTGATAACACTGAAAACAGGTCTTTAAATGCTACTGAAATAATTCAGAAGCATTAGCACAGCTGGGTTTCTGTTTTATAAAAGCCCAAAATATAGTGAAGTCATTCTTTAATACACAGAATGTCTTTGTAAAAGGTTTAATGTGCTTCTGGACTTCTAAAGCAGCTCAAATCTTTTATGCAATATAAATGTTAAAGAAAATGCTGTCAATCACCAACACTGTGCTCAGAACTTACCAGCAAGTTTGGCACCCTGTGTATTTCTGGTACATAAAGCGCCTGCTCCAGACCAGCTTTAACTGTAGGAGAGAGAGTGGAAAAAATAGGGTATATGATCAGACCAAACTCTTATGGAGGTCTGAGATGAAACCCCAGCATTAACCCTCCCACCCTTGTTTTTGTGGTCTCTTAAAGACCTGCACTATCTGGAAAACATGATGTTGATTATTGCCAGCATTGGCAATAACTACTTTGGTTATGTCTGTGTTTCAGAAAGCTCAACAGTTATGCCAGAAACTCTTGAAGACAGACTTTGAAAATGTTTAGATGAGTTTTTCTGATTTATCTGTGCAGGTACCTCACTAAACTAAATGAAAGCAAGGTGTAGTGTTCCTGGTTCCATCCATGCAGGAAAACTTGCTAGCATAGCTATGCTTAGTAATGAATGCAGCAGTTGTGCTCCTAGGTGAAGGTTTGGCTTGATCAAGCTGAAGTTTTGCCAGCTTCTGAGTCAAATCATATCAACACAAGGCAGATTTAACAGTTAAATTCTATGCATAGTAACATGAGGTGAATGCTTTTCTGTTGTCAGTGCTGACTGCTTGGGCTCACTGAATTTTTCTTCCTTGATATCTGTTTGAACGTTGTTTTGATTTCTTGTGAAGACAAGCTGTAATGGTGGTAGCTGACTTCTCATGTAATATCTTTTACTGATCTGGTATTGCTCTATGTGATGGTGACTGGGTATTATTAAATTCTTAGGCAAGAGACTATATTGGTGCAGAAAAAAAAAATCTGTGTGGTGTATTAAGGGCAGAACTTCTTGTACTTGTGCATCACTTAACATGTCCTAAATGGTGCCTTGTTGGGAAAGCAGTAGCTCTACACATAGG